TATAAATAACTTTAGACTACAAGAATAGTTTACAAGATTAAAAACTTGCTCAGACCAAATTTGTATGATTAATCTTTATTATAATTTAACTACTTACCTGCTTGCTCACTTTTTACAAATGCTTACGTTTTCTACTTAATTCGTTGCCAATTAACTTTTTCTGATCTAGAAACGTTTGTTTAAACAGATTTTTTAAGGTTCCTAGATCGATTCTTGATAGAAAATTCTTTCTGTACCTTTTTATTTGGATAAGTCATTATTCGAATGCGTGAGTTGCCTACTAAAATACAGCAGCTCTTCCACAAATTTTTATAAATATTAAATCCTAAATAACATACTGCGCTTTGCCTGACTGTATACTGGTTTGTGCAGTAAAGGTTGTGTTGAGAAACTCTTCCCGATATATTTTCTTCTACAGTCTAGAGTGCAAACCACTACTGCAGGAGGTAATAAGTAGTTTCAGACCAATTGTGGGAAATATTCTTTCTTTGAGTCCACTCCTGATTCTCCGCTACCCACTAATGCATCGATGCTAGGCTTAAATGACAATTAGTCGGTTTAATTAATTCAGTCCTTTGGCTGACCTTGATCTTACTTTTTGACTAAAAGTCGCGAAATATGCCAACTTTGGGCTTTGTAAGATACAGCAAAAGGTACAAATGCTTAAAGGTTTAAGGATTAAAGTTATCAAGAAAAGACTGGAATGATAGTCGGTTAGTTAGAGTTGACAGTACATGTTGTGTGTCTTGCACAAAAGAGCAGATATTAGAGCATCCTGATGAGCAAATAAGCATTCGGATCTGGTGAACCCGAAGCAGAAAAGGTAGTCAGCTTGTAGTGCTGTCTAGTTTGTATAGGAAGCGAGTAGAAAATAGATATTTTTCTGCTTAATCCATCACTGTAGGGGAGAGATACGGATTAAAGAGACAAAATGGCACGATCAGGAATGCATAGGCCTACAAAAGTAGAGATGCCTTTCATGTCAATTTGGTAGCCAAGCTGGAATCGGTTGTGATCGGATCATTAGCCGACTTATGTGGATTTGTAGCACACTATAAAAGTGTGCTTCTATCCAAATCATTTCATGCTAGAAAGTCGATAATCCGTTTAGTCTCTACTTTCTAGCGTAGATACTACTTTTCTATCTATCTCTCTCTCCTTCTCTGTGCTCCGGTATCACGTTGTCCAATCAGCTTCGAAAGATAGTTCGAGTTTTGTGAATTAAGATACAGATGCCAATGGGCTGGTAGTTGACAACAGTTCGTCTGCATAAAAGGGGATCTTTACGAGGAAACTTTTAGAAGAGAAGCCGGAGAAGTTGAAAAAGTGAAGCTTGATAGAACATATTCAGAACATGCCACGAGAAAGTGTATATCGTGCTGGCGTCTGTCTCATCTTGATGCATCCAACTCACTGAATCCTGTAGGAAAACCTGGCCGGCAGAAGATATGCAGAGTTCAATCAAACGAGGATTTAGCTTGCACAACAGAACTGCAACCGAAAACGGAGGCCATTCCGGGTGGCTCAAACGTTCTGAATCCTCCATCATTGGACCGGGCGGTACATCACCTTCGTTGTCAAGGTTTAGCCCACGCTTGACGTCCAAATTGAGCCTCGCTAGTGGAAGCAGGATACGTGAGAGTGGTGACACGCCAAAGATCCTCGAAACACTTGAAACTGTTCAGCAGGATTCTTCGGCTGCTTTCACTCTGTTGGATGCCACTGCTTTGCAAAACCTTTACTCCGATCCAGCTCTTCTTTGTCATTTCGGACAGGATGTAGAAATGAGAAACAGAATACTTTCACGCCGCTTGGATGGACTTTTACTGAAGGCAGCCGAGAAAGGTGAAGACGATGATGATATGGACTCCAAAAACGAAACTGGTGTAAATGTATTTGACGAAAAGATGAACGACGTACAGACAGAACTAGACGGTGATAAAAAAAGAGGCAATAACTACAGAAAAAAACGATTACTGGATTTAGGCCAAGGAAAGCGAAGTGATGTGAAAAAGTAAGAAATTCCATAAGTACAAAGTGATGGTATTTTTGTGTCAAAAAAACGTATAAATTTACAATTTTTAATTAAGGCAGTCATTAATTAAAGGTGACTCGACCTAAAGGTCCTTGTACCCACTCAAAAATAGAGTTAATTACGGCGAATGGTGAGCATATTTTTTCGTTTGATGCCAATATGCTAAATAAAAGTTAAAATGAAGATGACAAGATATGAAAAGAAGCTGGCTTTCGAATAATATTTTTCTAGGTTGCCATGGCATTTTGTCTGTTGAATTGTGCGAAAAAGACCTCGACTCACCGTCGAGAGAGCTGGAAACTATTACTCATGAACAATCACCAACAAATCTAGGCCAAGAAAGGTCGTCAGCTTATATCCCACTTACTTCTTATATCTCACTTTGCAATCTCAATGAGGCATTACATGCATGCAAACGGTTCAAAGTGATGCCGAAAGTGATGGTCACAACTTATGTATGTGGAAATAAACTGTTGTGTGATCCTGTAATCCTGGGTATTGTTAGACCTTTGTCGATGTGTCTTCGTATGTGTATGCAATGAGCACGAATTGGTTGGCAACTTTAGGAATAATTGTTAACAATTTGAGAATATTGAGAAAATTATTTTGGGCAAAACAAAAAATTAGGCAACTCTTCGGCCAGGTTCCCAATCCTTAATCAGAAGATTCCTGTAGCGACCACATGTTCAACAACCTCCGATTTATCAATCATTCTGTGTTCTGATAGCCTCTTATGTATGATTCGACAAGTCTACCCCACTTAAACATTACCATATGAGCACAAAATCTTATAACAAGCTGATCTGATCGGAAGATTCTCTAAAAGAGGACATGATCAGGAAAAATGTTGTTGTTTCTGTATACATAGTCTTGACGATTCGTCTAGCTTTCTTGAAATCTTTCAGGATGGAGGCATCAAGAATTCGGACAAAGAGGTTTCAAATTTTTGGTTTTGTCTCAACCAAACCCTATTTTGGTTAATGTGATGCGGGACTGGTAGTTGAATTTTCCCACAATGACATGAGTAAAGATGACGTTTCTATTGACTTTCACATAGACTTGCGTTGCCAAAAGTTGTTCTCATACAATTGTTACAGGAAAAATATGTTTTTTCATCGACACTCCCACCAAATAATGTGATATGGGAAAATAGGCCTCGTGAAAATGTGGCTTGGCAATTAAAGTGTCAGGCTCACATGCTGAACTGTCAAAACTGCAGTCCACTCTAGCCAGGATGAGAATAACTTTTGGGAAATCAAGGCTCTGTGAAATTCAATGGAAACGTCAGCTCTACTCATTTCATTGTGGGAGAATTGAAATACCATTTCTTCATCAATTCAAACAAAATAGAATAAATACTTCTCATATTACTGATTTACTGATATACGGAAAAGCAAATAATGGTTTCGTTTCACTCTATTTCTGGAAGTTTGGAAATTGTTGACAATTAATTCTAATAGATAATTGTTCTCAACTAAACTTTTTATCAATATTTCGAACTCTTCTTCCTAAAAATGTACGACTGCTAGACGTAAACTCCATATTATCATTGGTTTATTACTCCAAACATTGAGATGGAAAAATGAGTTAAGGTTTTTTGGTGATTGTTCGTGAATAATGGTTTCTGGCTCTGACGAACGAAGGCTCAGCACAAAGTCGTCGGGGTTGTAGATCGTTTTCATACGAATCCGTTTCAGCCGTTTTCTCAAACGAAATGAATGGTATGCCAGTATCAAAAGATGACAATATCTTTTGGTAAGCATGGTTAAAATAATTTTAATAACACGGTCAAAACGGGAAAAAAATAATGTCTATTAAAAACAACGACCTTCGATTGTAAATTTTAGAAAATCTCTACTTATAGACAATGCATAATAATGATCGCATAAACTCCACAACCTTTCTCTATTCATCACAGCATTACTGTGTTTTAACCGCATACTTTTTCGCATAGAAACATTGAACGATTTTCGAAGTTTATTTCATATTATTCATGAGAACATTAGCATTTAACTAAGTGCCTGTCTCGAGGTCGGAACTTACGAACAGTCACAATAACGAAAGATTTTTTCAGCTGTTTTAATGCACATCTCTTAATAAAGAATAAGTTGCGTAGACACATTTGACACATCCTAACTATACAATAATGTACACAATGTTTAAGTACAATTCACATTCATATATGTATGGTTGTGTGTCCTCAGCATCTTTCCTTAAAGTTGCTGTAAAGCTTGTAATTGCTATGCGCCCCAGATAGCGTAATCTCAATCGCGCCAAATTCACGCTGAACTCATCAATTCTATCCTTTTTCTCGCATTCACTTGTTCACCAACAGTCAAGATAGCAAATGCGACTGAGGTGGCGTTAACAGGTCACCATTGTGCTTCATAGCAGCAGGAATTGCATTTGTACTTTTTGTATGATGCAGTCAAACGTATGATGGGTGTATGTATAAAATGATAAGATGTGACTCTTCCCAAATGCGAATTAGAATACGGCGCGAATGAAAATTCATACACCGTTTCCGGTGAATAAATACTTGAATCAAGCTAATCATATACAACTATAGACAAACTAGTATAGTTTGCAGAAAATTTCATACCATGTGGTAAAGTTGGGTTCAAAGGGCAATAATAAATTGGAAGTAATCATGAAGCTTAGCCATCTCATAGTAACAGAATATAAAATCAACTTTACATCATCCTAAGCGAACAAGGGTCACTACAGTTTGTATTAAATGTCTTCGAAATTACTCAAAACTTACTTAATACACGACACATGGCAACATTTTGGTCGTTTGGTCACAACCACATCCACACCATAAGTCGTCCACATCCACTTCACTTGTACTTAATAAAGTAAATGAAGCACTAAATAGTCACCGAAATAATGAGCTTCCTCCTTAAATTAGCAAACTAGTTAGTTGGCCACCATAATTCTCTTACATAGTCTATGATTTTTATGTGAATTTTGCCTCTATAAAATGGGTGGAGTTCAGGATACCGTCGCATTTCACATTCATTTGCCACAAAAAGGCTTCCTTATTCCATAGTTGCCATGTGAAATTCGGATTTATCGTCAGCTGACTCATTTACATCAAAGCAAATACAACTATTAAAATGAAATAATCTTATGAGGCCTACATCGAATAATGTTCTTCTTGTTGAGTTTACTTCCATTTCGAGTGAAAATGTTTGGTGAAGAGATTCAAAGGTCGATTGCACCAAAAGACGAAAACGGATTCCTCTTGACCACATGTCGATTGGCTTTACTGTAGCATACATGCTGACGCTGTTTCCGAGGCAATCTCGATTCCGTCCGTCATATGACGAACATCAACGGAGCAAAGTATCATCCTTACAAAGAAATACAAGATAGAGTCAAGAAACAATTCCTCGAAACCCAACTTACTTATACAACATCATTTTTGGCTGAAGATGTTTCTCACATGATAGATATAAGCATAGAATGTGTTTTGCGGAATAAGAGTCAAAGTATGCTTGAAATGTGATTATCTGAAGCTATAATACAAGTTTTTATCGTATAAAATACAATAATCGTTCCTTTTAACAATAGGTATGATGCCCAAGCACGTTTGAGTGAACATTTATTTATATCTCTATTCTGTTTGAGTTAGATCAATGAATAACGTAAAGCCTAAAGTGGTTTTCTGTACATAATTGTTAATGTAAATTGGGATATATGAAAGCTAAAACAAATCCAAACCGGTCAAACATGAATGAAGGAATCAATTAATAAGATTCATTACTTTAGTATTGGAAGATATTTTTAACTATATACGATACTTATTAATAGCAAATGGTTATCCAGTAAAAAAAATGAATTGAGGATATATGATATTTCCTTTCAACGTATGCTGGTCGATAGAATCTCCAATACTGTGTATCTACTGCGACATATTACATAACTTTAAAGATGTGAAAATTTGATATCACAGCGTATATTCGAAAAATTATCTTGCCTGAAAATGTGCAAAACAAAGAAGTTCAGTACAAGTGTCTTCAGAAAGCCGACATCGCTACGATAGTGCGCCCAATTAGGCAATGTTTTCGTTTAATTGCATGCATTGCTCCAGTAGCAATCCCGGTCAACGTGCAAAGAATAAAAAGTTAATACAAACTTTAATCGGCTGTGGAGGGAAAAGTATTTTGCGACATCTCGTGGGCAAACTAATTATCAAGCCTCGAGATACCAGAAAATGTACAGTGCAGCCTATCTATCAAATAATTATGCTCCACTATAGGAAAAG